CTTCGTGTTTAAACCCTTATAATTATGAGAGCGAACATATATTCCAACACTGGTCTTGGTGGTTCCTAGGTAACTATAGGCGAGCTCAAGCGCGGCTAGTTTCTCATCATGAGGAAATAGCCTTTTTGAACGGTGGTGCAGCTGAGGTGATTTTGCCCCTGTACGGTGACGTATGGCGCATATTGCTTCTAATAGGAACGGCTGTTGAACGACAGGCTAGCTTCGGCGAGTGGTTGGAAAGAGAAGCTCGCGGCTATACAATTCCGTCAGGGTTGTATCGATCAATTTGGTCTTAAGTAGATCAAGTTGGCTAGTGTGGTGGCAATGTGTTGGTATGCAGGTATTTCGCCTCAGTGGTGGGATGGCCTGTAATAGCTCTACCATTCATCACTGAAGGGGCTCCGAAAGATGGGAAGGATCAGCTTAGACGACTTACCCAGTAGATGGTATAGAGGCGTGTTACTAACCTTATCCTCGGCTTGGTAGGTATAGAGTCGCTGACAATCTGATCCAGACTTCAAGTGCATCACTATGTGACCTCATACTTACGTATAAGAAAGTAGTAGAGCAGGAGTAGTGAGGTCGAGGACTGTGGTCTAGGGTCATTGATCAGGTCCAAACCCTAGCTGGGTACACGGCTAGGGTGTCGGAGTTGGTTGAAGCATTGAACCGATCAGACGAGCAGCACACAAGGCGGATGCGAACGTCCTCTCCAGAGGTCAGTAGACTGTTGTGGTAGAAGACACATGAGGAGTCTCAGGAAGATGCTATGCCTAACGCCGCCCTCTTAGCGGCGAATGATCTGACCATCACCACGCCAGATAAATCCCGTACACTACTCGATGGTTTTAACTTTGTGGCCAAGCCAGGTGGGGCTCCACCCGTATAGTCGTTATGTGGTTATCGATATCTTTCAGGAGACCGCGTGCTTATAACCGGGCCTAATGGTGCTGGGAAGACCTCCCTATTCCGTGTCCTAGCAGGTCTATGGCCAGCATCGGCCGGAGGTATTAGAATTAATAAGACCTTGAGCTCCGGGGCCCTACAAGAGGGAGAGTTAGGCGATGTAAGGCCCACCCTGCAGCTCTCTGTGAAGCTCTAGTCAGACTCAATCGGCCCGATGGGCGCGTGATTACGTGCGTTGCAAACAGGAATATTCAAATTCCTTCGTATTGGTTAGTACAAGCATTTCTCTTTCTCCATGTCGGGCGCCGTGCCACTTGTCCTTAGTAGATACGCATCATGTACCTACCCCAAAGCCCGTACCTTGTATTGGTACCCTGAGAGACCAGGTCATGTACCCTACCATCAC